AGATTGAAATGCTGCAAAGCTTTTACTTTTTTATTATATTTAAAAATGAAAATTATATGTTTAAAACTACACCACTGCTATGCTTTCAAAATCTAATACACAAAACTATCACAGCAGTCATTGCAGGGCTGGATATGAAAGCAGTAGCATGGATGGGAAACATCCTTTTCAGTTTTGGGGTTATTTTAGCACAAGCTAAATTGAAGACAACTTCATGAGTGATGAAAAAAATCCTTGTTTTGTCCTATCATCATTATGGTGCAGTGACAATTGAAGAAAATGTTAATTCTTTGAGGGTGAAAACTAAAGTCTTTGAAAAATAAGCTATAAAGTGTCAACACGAAGCTGAGGTTCATGTTCGTGCTTTTTAAGATCAACTCTGTGTGATCCATGGCTTATTTTTTTTTTTATTGACATCTTAATTAAAAAAATAGATGGTTTCAAAGTCATGGAGTACTTATGGTATATATAAAACGATTCATAATCACATCCAGCCAGAAATTCCCAGTAGAAGGCTCTCCTCTTTGCTCTTTTCCCAAGAATATAGTGGTATTTCCACTGACAAAAGTAGTTTAACTTAAACGTACACTTCCGGAGCCCTGAAAGTATGGCTTCTTTTTAGAGAGTGTTGTTAGTAAGTTTTAGTACCTTCTTTGTGATTTCTACTTTGGAGCATTGAGTCCTTAAAAAACATTAACAAGTCCTGTGTTGTGGCAACAGAGATAAATATTTTCAATTAAAAAGTGCACAAGTGAATTTTCTGGTTTGGACCTATCAAGCAGCTAAGTTTGGTTTTCAGAGAAGATAAGGATTCACAGTCCATGGGAGTTGTAGGTAGTAAACTTTTCAGAAACCGATCTCTAGTGAGTAGATATTCAAATATTAGTTGTCACAACTGGGACCAGATTTTTAGAAGAGCTCAGCTCTTGTTTAGGTGTCTAAATATATCACTAGGTTTGCAAGAACTTCATGTGTTGAGTGTATTGAGAGCTTCCAGCTGCAGATCATTTCTGGAAATCTGAACTTTATTTAGGTGCTTAAATGTGTTCCGGTTGCTTCAGAAAGTCTGGCTTCATGCATCTATATATAGGCATCCAATATTAGAGATAATATATTAAAAAGAATTGGCCCTCACTTTTTCCTGAAAAGCTATTACAAGTTAATTTCAAAAGTAAAAATGGAATTCAAACCTTCTAGTGCCTTGTGCTAACTGTGATAACATACTTTGTGCAAAGAGCCAAAATCATTCAGTATAAGGTCCTACATTTGGAAGAGTTGCAGAGTTCTGGCTGAACTAAGATTTTTCCAAGTCTCCTGGAGAAGAAGTCTCATCTGAGAGGAATGGACAAGATGAAAGCAAGCTTTCTTTTCTCACAGTGGCCCTGGGTGGGAAAGGAAGAATCAGAAACCAAACTGTAATGTAATACCTCTACTGGAGAATACCCAGAAGTGGTTCATGAAGATATACGATCTAGAAAACAGCACAAGAGGTTCTACAGCAAGGCAGAAGTTGTCACTTGCAGAACAGGTGAAGCTTGGCGTCAGGTTGCAGTCCAGTGAAATACTCAGAATATGAATAGCTTAACTGAACACTCCAGACCACACTTCTGCAGAGATGAAATCAGTAGGACAACTTATGTGATTGAATTGACAACCCCCTGTCTGAATTTTCATTAATTGTCATCACCCTTTCATTCTTTCCCTGCATATCCCCCATGCTTATCTTGCGGTTTTTACTTGCGGAATTTCCTTCTTGCGTAGGAACAAAATGCAAAGGTGATTTTCATTTCAGGAGTAACAAAAGCGATTAGAGAGAAAATCCTAAACTTCACTGCTCGCAATTGTTCAGTCAGAAAAAAAAACGTTTTCAAGAGAAGTCACGCTATTGCAGCTTGAATTTTCAAAGCTTCAGTTTGCAGGCAAACGCCATACGAAATTCAGCGTTGCCATAATTTACAGTAGATTACTTTTTTTCCTGTAAGAATATACTATGACATCTAAAGATGGAAGAAAATGTCAAGTATAAAATGAAACAATCTTATTATGTGGTTGTAAGAAATGTCTGCAACAGATCAAAATATACAAGGCTGAGGAAAGGGGAGGGAGGAACAGCATTCTGTGTTAAATTCTGCTGACAAGGACAATGAAATATAAACAATAGAAATAATGTGTAACGATGTTTAATCCCACAAAGTCTACTTCAGACTTGTTTCTAGTTTCCTTTCTAGGCTACAACCAGGAGAATTCCCCTGAGGCCCTATTCTCACCATTCATCCCAATGCCGTATTTCCAAAAATTGCTTTTGCATTCTTGATTGAGAGATGTCTTGTTAGTTTCGGAATAGGAAATCAGACTATCATTTTTCCTTTGATGTTGAACTTGAGTGTAAGTGGGAGCACCCGTCCAACTGCTTTCTGACAGGAGTAAAGGGGTAGACCAAATGTTTCAGAATTTCTCTTTCCCAATGTGTTTGCAGCCTTCAGGTACAGACTACCTAATCATCATACTACGTTTGTAGTGTGGTGTTTGATTTAGCCTCTTGATTTAATCAATTGCTTTGGTTGCAACAGTAATACTGTTGATCTTTCCTGCCCCTAGTAGAGCATTCATAGAGTCATAGACTCAGAATGGTTAGGGTTGGAAAGAACCTTAAGATCATCCAGGAACAAATAGGAGCTATGCAGAGCTTAGGGAAAAAAAAAAACAAAACGACACCTTGTTTAGTGATTTTTCAGGTCAGTGGTGACAGAGCTATGGCCAGTGACTATTTGGGACTTGTCCATTGCTGCTTGTGCTAATTTCGATATAATGATAGTATAGGTATGTCAATAATAGGGGACCCTGAGGTAGTTTGGAGAAGTGATAGTGGGTCAGCTGAGCTGACAGGAGTATCTAAATTGGAAGAAAGTGTAGAACAAACAAAGCTACATCCCTTATTACACTGATAAGGAAGGAGCAGACCTGGAAAATCAGCTTGGCCATGGGGTGAGAGACTAGCAGGGATTTGAAAAGACAAAGGATAGAGATGGGGTGTGTGTATCTCTACTCTGCAAATATATGGGACTTCCCTGACTGAAGAATTAGCCAAGTAACAAGACTGTATACAAGGAAAGATAGGGAAGGGCTTTCATTCAAGAGGAATGTACATTCCCTTGAACTTTGGTTTAGAGTGTGTTTCAGAGTGATGAGGAAAACCAGGCAAGATGAGACATAATTATCTCCTGACCTTATCAAAATCTGTTTAGTGTATTTTAAAGTAAGAAGTCATAACATTGCCTTGGAAACCCTTACAAGCCTGTGTATCATATGTCCTCAGAGAGGTAAATAGTAAATTGGAAAGCTCTTTTGGGGTGAAGTTATATGATATGGTCAAGTTGGTTTGACTCCTTGATGCGGTAAAAAGGAGAAGGCTCTGCATGACACTTTTCTTGTCCTCCCCACGTATTTCTGCTGCTTATTTTGTACTGCCTCTGACACTCTTTGGATCCCCACCTTAAATTGGTTCAACTCACTGACTAGCAACATTTCTGTAGTTTGTTTGTCTTCTCAGCCCCTATATTAGGTTTCTGCCTGGTAGGCAGTTCAGTTAGTTCACTTGGTAGATAACAGTTATCAGTGCAAGGGAAGGAGTTGAACCTTATAGCAGGGAAGAGGAACCGGAGAGAAGAAAAGCGTTGAACTCCTCAAGTGGCTTGGCCACTTAGCTTCACCTAACATCAAATTAAGGCTGCAAGCATTTGTAAATTAGTGGGACTTTTTGGAGAGCCAGCACTCCATCCAGCGAACCTGATCTGTGAGGTCCTGGTTCTAAATAAGATAGGGCAACTCTGCCAGAGACGACAGAGAAGGAGATGGTGCTGGAAGGCACCCAAACCGAGGGAGGAAACCTAACAGCAGAACACATCAGGACCCAAACACAGCAGCCTGACGGGTGTCCAGTAATTCTGTACCAGGCACGTCGGTTTGGTTCTGACTAGACACAAGAAAAATTATATTCTTGCCCTTAGCTATAGTCCTTTTTAAATCCCACTGACTCTCTGCCTTTGACAAAATGTTTCTGCATTCTCCACTACTGTATTTACTTTACTTAGTGTAGATTAAATATCATTTATTGTTTCCTGCTCTAATTTTTAAATTCTTCATACTGACTCTGTTTTCAGTTTCCTTCCAGAATACATGTATTTTATTCCATTCCCAGATCTATGTGCAAATGAATCATACCAAGTTTAGATATTTCTTTCTATTATTTATTGTTAGATGATGTGCCAGAAGTCTCAGTTCTTTGGTTGCATCCAAAAAAATGTGAAAGAATATTTTATTAGTTGTAGTTGCATGGTACTTAATTTTCTTTAGTAAGTGTGGCATATACTGTCTATTTTAGTATGTGATAGGAGTGCAGAGATCTCATTGGCACAGAGCTTAAATTAAAGGCTGAGCAGCTTTCTGGAAGGTTGCTCAGTGTTCAGTCCTACAATTCCAGTTTGTTTCCTATTTTACAGATGAAGTTAAGACAGTAATACTGTTTTAACACTCACTCAGGAGGGTAGGATCTCAGAACAGTTATGAGTTCTAATATTAAAGGTAGAATGAAAAGAAAAAATACATTTTAAAAAAAAAATCTGTGCCTGATATATTCTTCTTGTAATATTTAACTGGAAAAAATTGTCTGTTCTGTAACTTCAATAAAAAAGTTGCATTGGAATAAATACTCTCCAATGTTTCCATTGTGTTTTGGGCACAGTAAGGGACAGGTTTTGTAGCTGATAAAATATTTCTAAATTTTCAAGCCCCATTGGCTGAAATGTTTTGTTCTGATTGTTACAGTGTATCTGCTTTAGCTTCCCATCGTGATAATTTCCCATCAGCTAGCTGTTGCATTCTCCTTACCTGCTTGTAAAACCCATCCCTTTATCAGTAGAGTAGCTATTTTTCCCCTGAGAGCAGGAATGTAGAAATTACTATTAGTCTCCACAAATTTTGCACCAGAAACTACAGTGCCATAATGATAAGTATGCTAAAGAATCTGTGTTATTTCAGAGTAGGCAGTGTTGCCATCGGAATACTCCTGAAGAGCTGGTCATTAACCTAGCAACAAGTGGCACGAGTGGAGCAGCTCTGCCGGGGAAGGTAAGGTGGGAGCTGTGGAGAGGGACCACGGCTCAGGTAGGGACAACATCCTTGTCAGCAAGCAGCTCAGTCCTTCAGCATTTGAAAAGCCAAGCAGAGCAGGGTGGCAGTAGTGCCCAATGAGCATGGGCACCTCAGCCTTCTGGCTCAGACTCTTGCTCGTGGGGGTTGTTCATCCAGTCAGGGTGGCTCTCAACCAAGAAATGACACAAGAAAACCTTTGTTGTGTGGGTTATTTTTTCTTTTATTTCAAAGAAGTTTTGTAACTGTCCTTTTCCTAACGCTCCCTGATGCTTGCTTAGTTTTGCAGCCTTAGGCATGTGTCAGAAAGTAATTTTGGTGTGGTTATTCAGCAATCTTAATGGTATCCTCTGCAATGAATAAAAGCATTATCAACAGGAACTGTGACAAGCACTAATACAAAACAACTGTGTGAATATTTTAGAGTAACTAAACCATTCTTTATTGCTTATTTATTGGGTTTTTCTACTACATCAGGTTTTGGAGCAGAGTTGGATAGCTCATTCATGTATCAATTAAGTTTTACCCTGTACAAAGCCACAGTATGTGTATGGTTTGACAGTAGGCTGACAATACTTACCAGAAGTCACTTACAGAAAATAATGTGGAAATTTTTGTTTTCAGAACAGTATCTGGAGCTGAAAAACCGAGGAAACCGCTTTTATATATTTCCTGTGGAATACAATGAGATCCTCTTTGCCTTTTTTCTGAGAAATAACTGAAAAACAAAACCAGTGTCTCATCATTGTCAGTCATACATGTTTTTTGCATGCTCTTGTCTATGAGAAAAAACATGTGTTTCAACAGATTGATGGGAATGTATTTTGGTTTCACCCAGATGTACTCTGTTTCTTCAGGCACTCTCACTTTTATTATTGTTTGCGACAGAAAGTCTGTATTGGAAAACCTGTGGTACAGCGAATGCTGTGCGAACCAAAGATGTAGAAAGACGTAGACCTCACAGCTGTTTGTCCCTGTCGTATTGTTAACATACCCTATTTTATCTTTGATAGATTGAGAGGTAGGAAAAGTAGTAACATGGAAGCAGCATGGAAAATTGCTTTACCCTTTTGCCTTAGAAGACTGCTTCAGCCTCGGTGAGAGCATTTGTGAAGTACTGTGAAAGAACTGGCATTGTGTTGGCGGGGGCTCCACTTTGTTATCTGGCTGCAGCTTTTGTGAGTACAAATCCTAATTTTGGCTCTTCTCAAGGGACATGAATAGCCTTGTATAGGACTTGGTAAATGAGCCATAGAGAACAGGGAAGGAGTCAAATGAAGTGAAATAATCTTGGTGACTGCTGTGAACTCCTAATAGAGTCTGTATGAGCTCTCATGTGGAGGTGTAAATGTCTTATCTCTACATGCTAGCAGTGGCTGGGGCTTTTAATGTTTAAGATGAAACAATTCTGATGGTTTGCATGATCCTTCCCACCCCCGCCTTCTTTTTTTTTTCCCTTGGTATTTTGGTTTTTGCTTTGTTTCTTTTATTAACATGGAAATATTTTGAAATTTGCATTTTAATTCACAAAGGCATTTCAAACAGCCTCGAAAATTTGTGATGTTATTACTTAATTCAGATAGAAATGAAGCTCTTGGTGAAAAGGCCTGGGATATATTCATTGCCATAGTGATGTGAGGAGTACAGGAGTCATATACTTAGGGCTTTCGAGTAATTATCTGTATTTTTTCCAGCTTTCCAACTGTTCCTCATCTCCTTCCTCTACCTCCCCCAGTGATGCCAGGACAGCTGTAGTGGGTTCTTTGTTTACAATAAAAATAGTGAGAAGAAACCCTTGATCTTTGCATTCCAACAGTGTCAGTCTAGCTTGCTGAGGTTATTTCTCAGTCCTTGCAAATATTTTTCTATGAGGTTTTTGAGCACTTCAGTCCAGTCCAGAATCTGGATACTGGACTGAATACTACATGCATAAATATATGAAAACTTAATTTTGTTAAAAATGGGAAAAATATGAAGCGTGTTTTCTGAGGAAGTATATGGAATGCTGGTCATTGAGCATCTGTGTGTATATATGTGCATGTAGTGGGTTTATTTGTACTATAAAACAGCTTTTGTTTTTCATGAGTTGTAGCATGTTAAATGAGGGGTAAGGTGAGATAACATTGATAAACAGAAAGCGTATTTTTATGCTTTGGTTATTTAAAGCTTTGCCTTATGCTTTTGGCATGTGGCAATATCCTGTGGTTAATGGTTTTTCATAGGGTCATAGAATCATAGAATGTTTTGGGTTGGAAGGGACCTTAAAGATCACCCCCTCTCTTGTGGGCAGGTACATGTGTCAAATCTGTGTCTCCCCACTTTAGGATGTTCTGTGGGACAGTTTCAAAAGCTTTGCACTAGTCCAGGTTTTCAAATGTGATAACACTTTTTGTAATTTTCCCATATCCTAAACTTAGATTTTTGCCTCCTGCAGTCATCTGTCATAACTTAGTTTTTATAGGTCTCTCTGATTTCAATTGCTAGAGTAGCTGCAACAGTTAAAAGGCAATCTGTAAGGAGCTTTCAGTTCTTTACTTCCACTGCTTCGGTTTTTAAATATGTTGTGTTGCATTACTGCCATAAGTATTTCTAGGACCAAGTGTTTCAGTTGGAAAGTCAAAAGGCTGGTGCATGTCTGGAAGGAGACAGTGTCTGCCTTTCATTTGTAGGCTGCTAGCGTTGTAAGGCTTTTTTTTTTTTTTTTATTCCCTTTTTCCCCTCAGTTTTATGACTAAATGAAAAAAAACAGGGAAAAATAATTTCATAAAGTTTTGGGTTTTTTTCCAGTGAAAGAGAAAAAAGATACATGGCTTAAAATCAAATTGAATAGTTGTTTTAAGATGATAGTTTTGGTTTGGGGTGTTTCTTACATAGAAAGGGTTCTTGGCTACATTTTTGAAGAAAATGTCATTTTGACGTGAAATAATATTTAATTTTGGAACTGTGGAAATGAAAGCATTTTGGTTTTTTAATTCATAGTTTTCAAACCTAAGACTGCTATCTTGGTTCAGCTCACATTTGTGAACAGTTATCCTTGACTCCAAAGAGTAATTTTGGCAAGTACACTGCTCACCCTTATAATGCATGAACCCAAATTACTTCTAGTTCAGGAATTGAAGTTAAAAGCTGGAGCTCCTGCTCCCAGGAGGGCAGAAGAGGGGAAGTGCCCCAGGGGAGAAGCCATGCAGAGTGTGTTGTGGTGGCACACAGAACCAGAGGATTTCACCTGCATGCTCTGACATGTTCTCTTTTCCTGGCTGCAGCAACGTACTGGGGTGGCAGGTCTTGTGCTGTCCATGTTGCCCCATCACCCGCTGGTGTGGGTAGCTTCACACAAGTGCCTGGATCCGTTCTTACTTGCATCACCTGAGTGAGTCCTTGGCCTGTACCTTACCCTGAATATCAGGCAAGAGTCAGAGTCATTTGTCACAGCTGGACTGCTGCTGATGGAGGGACTGGAATAGAAACGACAGAGTCCTGACTGGGTGGCCATGGTGTCTCTATCCTGGCAGTAAGAACTGACAAAGAACAGAACAGGCTGTGCTTTGTGTGACATACTGTGAATTAGTTCTTACAGCTCTTATGAATGTTCGGTCATGTTGTGTTCTTGGGGAGTTGCTTCTATGATTCTTAGTTTTGTTTTATCTTAACCTTTTCTTGCTCTTTCCTGATGCAGGGGTGAATTTCTACTTCTTTGCCTGCGTGCTTTATTGCAGTGAAGTCTAGAATGGCATTTTTCTGAATCCAGATTCTGCTTCACACTGGCACTTTCCTTTTAGAGATATTTCAATGTAGGTATTTCTAACTAGACACCTTAATTCTTGAAGTTTTTATTATTTTTCAGTGCAGGGTGGCCTTGTGCTTTTCATACTGCTCTCTTTCAGTTTAGGAACAAATCCTCTTTTCCCACAGAAGATTTATTTCTTTTCATTTCCGCTGAAATAAAATTTTCCTTACTCTGTATTGCAGATTCTGCTTTTCCAGGGAGGAAGCTAGCGCAATTTCTCTTACGTATTGCATACAACTTTCTTATAAAGTTGACTTGTTCATTCATGTCAGACTGTTCTGGATTTTACATGTAAGACATGTCAGCTGGGATAGGTAAATGTTAATTGTAGGAAAGAGAATAAAAAGCTGGAATAGGTTTCAACTTCCTTTCATCTATATGAAATGATTGAGGATCACTTCACATTAAAGGGTAGAAATGTTATTTTAAATATGTGAATTGGAGCCTTCATGTCACATGGATCACTTCCTACTGAGAGGAAGTAGCAGCAGCCACTTTATAATGAAGACAGGGCTTGGCTAAACCCAGTTATTCACTGTGTAATTTTGAAAGGAAAAAAATGGGTTTATTTTAGTGGCTGCAGTGTGCAGTGACATTGAAAGGGGATTCAAACTTTGTAGTGTCTGCAGAGGAAAGCTGCTTGTATTTCTTGTTCTAATGTCATAGAAAGCAAATAGATTCAGATAAATGCTGAAGAACTAATCATACTGAGATCTGTAAGGTGTCTTGTCTGTGGACCTTGCCCAGAAGATCTTATGGGCTTGTTTGTGGTACATGAGATTTTAGCACAGTTTATTCTAGGAGTCATCTTCTGTTGGGCTGCATTACTTGCCAATAGCTTTGTATTAGAGTTAAATTCCCCAGATAAAACAGAGAATGCCTATTGCCATTATTTTATGTACCACCATTAGCTGTTTCTTGATATCGGCTGATTTAATTTCAAAGACTTCAAAGAAATAATTTGAAGTTTCCTCTATTTTTCTTGAAGCGTTTTCTTTTTCTTTTTTTTTTTAACCTCAGAATGGTTAGCCCAGCCCTTTTGAAATCACAAATATTTCTGTAGTGCCTGCAGTACTGTAAGAATGACAGCTACAGTTAGATTATATATAATTCAAGTTGTGTAATCATACTAATTTGACAGAAACAAACATCGTGTGCTAAAAATCCTGTGTGACATTCTTATGCATATAGAAAGTTCTACTGGAAGCACTAACACAGGTAGCTAAATGACAACAAGTCTTATTTTTGTTATTAAAATAATAAAAATAAGAAGGGGATAAAAGTTGGAGTGGATTTTATGGTCCATGGTAAAATGTGGAATCCAGGCCCTTCCTCATGAACCACCATCTAGACACATTAATGTGTTTTTTCTGCTCTCTGGGATATGCCTGTGGTTTCTGAAATGTTAAAAATAATACTGCTTCTGGCTAGACAACTTTTGATGCATAGGTATTCAAATTTTAAACTTCTTTTTTTACGTTCTTCATTATTTTCAGTTCCTGTGACTTTCTTAGCAAACAAACACGAGAGCTAGAACATTCACTGGTCAGTAAAATGGAAAAATACTGCTCCAAATAGCAATAAACGTGAGTTACAAGTTTCTAGGTAAGTGAATCAGAACAGGCAATCTAATTTAAATATTATCTTTCTTTGGAGAAAAAGCAGAAGCAAAGCATGCAAATTTGGTGTTCAAAGGAGCTTGAGTTCTGAATATTTAATGTTCACTGAGACTTGATTGTAAATTGCCAGTAGACCAAGTGTCTTTTTATAAAACCTATTTGGTGAATAAATTTAACTAATGAATACATTAGAGAAGATCATGATCATTTAGCTTACAACTTCAAGTGATAAAGAGGATCAGCTGTATTGTCTTAAAGAACCGCTCTGTTGTTCAAAAGAGCTTTTCTTAAAGAACTGATAACTGGTTTGTTAGTCTCTTGGTGATTAGATTAGTGTCTGAAAATTTCAATGCAAATGAATAATTTTCGGCCTTTAAAAATTTTGTTCTCAAAGCTTCAGGCTTTGTTCATTTGTTTTTACATTTGATGGTGTTGCAGCATTATTTACAATGGTTTTCAAAGTTGGAATATTCTTTCAAAAAGCAGTAGCTACTGGAGTTGTTAACTGACCCGAGTATTGATCTAAAATAGTTGGTTTTCACTCAGCATATTTGAGTAGTGATTGCTTGAGTATGATTTCCTGATGGGTCAAAAAAAAAAAAAAAAGAAAAAAAAGAAAAATAGTCGCTGTATATATTCAGTCTTCTGCTTATAACTGTTGATATATACATGAAACAATGAAAAACCTGTCATATTCTCCACATTTCTAGAACTCCAACCATTTGGTGTTGGCATCTAGGAAGATTAACTCCCAACAATTATATTGTTTTTAAATTTCTCAAAGCAGTGTACACATCAGATGTTTTCTGCTCCTACAATGATGCAAAGTAGCCATATGCCTAGTTAACTGTCTAATTAAGCTTTGCATCACTGAAGCAATAGAAAAAGCCTAGAGTGTTTATTGTTCACATATCCAACATTAATTCACCAGATACACTTGTCAGCCGAGGAATTAAAGAGAGGAGCCAAAATGAGAGGCTTACTGTTCAGGACTTTGAAGCAGACCTGTTAAAAATCTCTGATTTCCCTCAATATTTGTTTTTATGAAACATCACAGAAAAAGAATTCCCAGGGTTCTGGCTTGAATGAGGGAAGCAGTGTTTACAGTATGCCATCCAAACCTGATATTTCCAGATTTCATTTCAGTTTTGTTTGTTGCCAGGTAATAAGATGAATCTGAGTAGTGAGCTCGGTATTTTGCTTGTGGTTAGAGACTTTCCTGTGTGGAAATCCCACTGACAATCCTTCCATTGTATCAGCTGGTTTTGTTACTATTGTTACCACTATCTCTATTCTTCAGTCCTAATGGAACAGCCTGAATTATCATCAGACTGTTTAAAACATATTTGATAAACAGTGAAAAATAGCTCCTTTTTTTCAGGGTTACATGACAAAGAGCCTTTGCTTGCTTAGGAGGCAAAAGGGAGGCAAATTGCGCTACAAGAGGAAAGTAATCAGATCAACTGGAAGGAAGTATTTTCTCCATTTACATGTCCCCAGTAGGTAAATAAATGAAAATATGAAAATAATTTGGTTTTCCTTTGTTAGCCACTTCCCCTCTTTTTCCTGGGGACCATTTTTTAATGGTCCTTAAGTTCAACCATTGCACAATCACCTCTGATACAAAATGAATGTCTTTTTTTTTTCAGTTGCCAGTTTCATGAAGAGAAGTAATAGCATCTTTCTGCTTAACTCTAGGAAAACTCCAGGATTCTTCTCATTAGCTTTTGGGGTCACATGTGGCTTGGAGGTTTCTTGCTCTCTCCTTCCACCCGCATATCAATGTTGATGAGGAGCATTAATGAATTTTGTGCTCTATGTTTCCACATCTTCTTGCCTTTACTTTTAGTTTCTGAACCTTAAAAAGGACTAGCTTTGTGCAGGTATTCAATCTTAACTAGTAACTAGTAAAATGAAAACATTAGTGTTTAGAATATTAAAGAGTTGAATAATGAAAAAGGTTAGGGAGACTATGAGGAAAAGTGTGATCTGATATATTGGTTACTGACCTTTCTGTGAAGATGACCCAAACTGTTCCATAAACATAGATGGGAAACAACAGTGTATGAAGGGAAAGTGTGTTGGAAGGAATGACCTTCATTAGCAAAAATGTGAATTTCTTGAAAGGCCCTTTTGGTCTTTTAACTTCTATAGTATGTACTGCCAAAGAGACAGATTGAAAATCAATTTTTTAAAGTGACTTTCATGTTCAGACTGTTATTTTTGTTTTTTTTTTTTTCAGATATTGCAAAACCTACAGTACATTATGTACAGTGGTATTTCACCTTGCACTGACATCCTGAATCTGTTTAGTCAAAGGCTTTGGACAATGAGTGTAGTGATTGACATTTGTTTTGGCAGCTAAATCTGGTTGCTACATCTGTCATTCATCTCTTGGAAACCCACGAACTACAAAATAGAGACAATGCCTAAAAGAAGTGATGTATGAAAAACCTATTGTCCATGCAGCGTTTGCGGTAGCAAGTTAGCAACTTTTTTCTTGGCTTTCCATCTGGTTCTAAGGTTGATGAATTAACCAAAGCCACTGCTCTACTTCTTGTTAGAGAGCTGCTCGCAAAGAAAGTGTGAATGTCCACCCATGACTGAATATATGCCTTCATCTTGCCTTAGAAATTAATTCTTGAAGCACCTAAAGTGGGTGTGTTCTTAGTATTCACTTGACTTGGGAGATGTGCTCCCAAGACAGTGATTATTACAGGAATATCTGGGCAGGGTAGCCCAGATATTAACAGAATACATTTACTTTGTAAACGTGGTAAGGATGTCTTCTGGTCTTCTTTGGCAAGGTAGATATTTGGCTTGTATGTACCTCTGGTGTGCATGTGCTAGGTAGGATTGGATGAAAGCATTAAAAAGGCTGGTTTCTAAGTTTGTGTGCAGCAGTCAAGTTCACATGGACTGTGAAGGTTAAATTTAACAAATTTTGCAGGTGTTGCTCTTCCACAAACAGGAATTAATATAAAAGATTTGTTTATGATCAAGACCTGAAACCTATTGACATGGGTATCACACCTTCAGGGGATCAGACACTCTTCAATTGAGCTGATGTCAAGGTATGTTTAAATTAACGTCTACTCCTGTATGCGACCCATTCTTTTTATAGGTCTGTCACTTGTATGGCTTCCATTTTTGATCGTAAATCTGTCATCTGTTAAACACTGTCGTTCAAATGGCAGAATGAGTTATCAGGCTCAAATAGATGCAGGTCTCTCCAATCTCATGGCTCTAGAGCAGTTCCTTTGTCTCACTACTCAGTGTTGCAGCTGCTGCAGTCTAAAGGGCATATGAGTAACTTTCGTTTTTCAGAGCATTTCAAAGTACAATGGCTGAATGGAAGATTAACTATAAAAACATGAAACATCTTTGTTGGGACACATTGCGCTAGAGTGTGTGTGCCCATTGTATGGAGTGTGCTACTTCTCGAGACCTGGCAGATGAGTAGCTTGATTATAGAAGAATGTTAACTTGGAATATTTGTGCAATTTATAAATCATCCTGCTAATAATTTTTTCCTTAAATTTTGTAAGCACTTTGAGGGTGACACTGAACAGTTCTGCCTTTAATTCCTGCTTGGTATAGGACAGGTGTCACAAAGATTTTCCTCTTACAGAGCACCGGAGGACAGCTTTGGTCTCGGTCTCATTTAACCTCTTGAACATGCCATACATTTGATTTCTCCCTCCTACAAAAATGTGCTTGCATATCCCTTTGGGTTCTCATACTTTCTTTAAAAAAAATAATTAAGGTGAAGATTAGCAAATCAATGCTGTCTGACATTGTCACTTTTGTGTTGTTTGTTCTATTTTTGCACGGCTGCTGTATGTCTCAGCTTTATTTTCCATGTAATACTTGATCAAGTAGCCAAAATACTGGGCCACCTCACCCTACCCAAACCTTTTATACAGAAAAGATAGTGAGATTCTTCTTACTCTCATGGAACCCTGCCATTTTCTGTATTCCCAGTGTGCCTTGACCTCTGTCTATAAAATATTTTTCAATATATGTAGTGGAGAAATAGGAGAAGATGAAGATGCTAAGAAAATCAGTTGTTGCTTATGTCAGAGTGTAGGTTAAGCTTCCATACTAGACCTAAATAAATGGCTTCTCAAATGCAGGACTGTTGGAAAGAGACTATTATCTGCTTCACATTGCACGTTTTCCTTAGCTTTCTTTTTAATCTGCAGTCACTGCCACCCACACTAATGGATTTGTGTATAGGAGGCATAGAATCTTTCAAAAGATTTGATTCAGCAATTTTGTGAGGCCTGTAGTCCATTAAACTGCGGGACCAGTTGAATCAAAGAGGCTGCACAGCCTCTAGCTTCAGTTTTGAAAGAACTGGCCCCCACGAATGAAAACTTAGAAAAGACAGCAGACCTAACCTTTTATTTTTCTACCTTGGACTGAGTTCTGTTTAGCAGCGACATGAAATTTCTATCAAGTTCCCTCCATACGGTCCTTTCAAGGACCCAATAAAGGGATGAATACCAGAGCAGAGCCTTTATCCATTCATTTTTCAGCTCTGTTAGCTTTCAATACCAGAAATGTATTTAAAAGTGGGTAAGGTTTTTTTAACTCTTATATACCACTGTCACTCATCCTGCTCCAAAAGAATAAAACTATATATGTGTTGGGATTTGCAATTCAAATGAAACCATTTTACTTCTTGAAAATGGGCTACTGTGGAAGAAGAAAAGGCTGTATAAAGGATCACATTAACCTACAGCAATAATATTATAACATCAGTGTTCGTGATACTATAGTTAGGATTGTGCCAACTGGCTAATTTATGAGCCTTCTCTTTCCCTCTCTGAAGTACCCAGCTGCTTTCTCCCCAGCTTTTCAGTTTTCTGATTAAAAGTCTCAAAAATGCTATGTTTGTTAGGAAATTAAGTTCTGTAGACTGCTATAATCAGTTTTATTTCAAAACAGTTGAGGGGTTTTGGTTCATGTTCATCTATTTATTTTTTAACAGCAATATAACCCCATTTATTTTGTTTTCAGTATGTTGCATACACATGGTCATGGTGTCATACTTTTGAATTACTTAATTTCCTAAGAAACTTTGGTATTTATATTATTACCTTACTGTAGAGAGTGGAAAAGGGGAAGTTAAGGTGTATTTCAAAAGTTTGTAAACACAGAGGTACAGAACACAGTAGATTTCATCTGTCTTACAGAAATTGTCAGCACTGACCAAAGAGCTTGTTGGTAAAGCACCTGTGCTGGGCTGCATTTTGTGATGAAGTAATTGTAGGAATAGTTCTCTATCTGCTGTTATCAGTCAATGATAATTAAATAAGTGGACATTTGGAAAGCTACTGGCCTTTAGGCTAATTGTCAGTGGAGCTGTATATAACTGAGAGTTAAAAATCAGGCTGATAAATTGCATTGTGGTGGTCTGGGTAAGAACAAAACAGGAGGCATTTATGTTAGCATTAATAGTTAATGCTATCACTGACATGAGTGTTAAAACTTTTAATACCAATACTGCTGTGTGTATGGCAATTTGAGCCTGAGATGCTTGAGGAGATGAGAGCAGATCTTATAGCAGGAGTGAATGAGCAGACCCAATTTTTAAAGCTAGACGTTCACTTGAAAGAGAATCAGTTTCAGTGTCCTTATAGAATGTATGCTACAAACTACAAAACTAAATGTGATCAAGAAGGGAGAGGCATTTCCAAATTTAGCCTGATATCCGACTAGATAAGAGTTCAGAGATAAAGACTTCCAGAAAAGCAATATGCTTCTGAATTCAGCTGTATAAAATATGAAATACATCGGGAATAGAAGCTTAAAGCCTAAAGAAAAGGTCAGCTTTAAAAAATGATTACTGTTGAGCAAAGCTGGCAGGTCTTGAAATGTGGTACATTCTTTTCATTTCTGAATGCACAGATTTAGTGCTAGAGAAAGTGATTTCCTGACCCTATGCTCTACTTTTTAGTCTGTGAAAGCTTTTTTATGTAAAAACCTAGGAGGAATTGGAATAGAATTCATCATGCTAGCAAGAGTGCTTATTCTGTCAGTCATGGAAATGACCCAACAGATGCTTTATTTTTGCTGAAATGTTCATAAAAGCGTGGTTCTATATCAATGTTTGGCCAAAGCTTGTGTTGGTTTTTGTAGGAGTGTGTGTATGTACATGTGTATAGTACAGCCTAGCTCAGGAAACACAAAGTCAGGCCAACACTTGTAGGTACTTTTCTAGCCGATCACTATTCCATTTCATTCTTAAAGGATGTAAGTTTGCCAAAATATTTCAGGGTCATGAACTGCTCCCCAATCGGTATTTAATATGTTTTATCTGTATTGTGTATGTGCATATGAGCATATGTATAAAGAAGCTTAAATTCTCATATACGTAGTTAGATGTTTTTACTCAGCATGTTCAAGAAATCAGGTAGCTACAAATACACTTATTGTGTAAACACATTAATGCACGTGTATGTATGTGTACTGATTATTGAAACATTTGGGTGCATGTATGTTTATGTAGTTATATTTTGCCAACACTGTTGAGTATGTGAAATGGGGAGGGGGGAAGGTTCAAGTTCAGGGCTAGGGATCTCTGACTAACTCCTTCAGTTCATGACTGAAGTCGCTAAGCACTGATTGAACTTTAACTCCAGTATGAAACAGAAATTGCTGTTTATGGGGCCCTATTAGTTTTTTACAATTTTTTGAATCCCATTTTTTCACAGAAGGGTTGGGAAAAAAAAAAAAGATGGATTTAACAGCCCCTGTATGATGGAAAAACATTAGATCATTGTCTAAGAGGGATACTTTGAATGCACGTTTTACCGTGAAGCACATCAGCTCAGGGTCTGGGAACACTGAGTTCCTGGAACTGAAACACTGTCCGCATGGTAATGCAGGCTCAGAGCAGCTTGCTTAGGAAGAGCCAAAGGGCTTCAGTGTGGACAGAGCTATGCTCTCCCTATGACTTATCGGCTCATGCTACGTGAATAAGAAGCTGGGCCAACATTAACACATGATGTCGTATCGGTTTCTCTGGCTATTTATGCATAGTAAATATAAAGCCTCAGGGATTGTTTTCTGGTCCTGAAGCCAACTGAATCAGCCTTGCTTGCATGAGTACAGCTACAGTCACAGAAGAGAGTGACTGTGTCTGAAGTAGCCCTGGGAAAGCGTTCCTTGTTCAGGCTCACACCTCAGTGTTGTGCAGAATGTTTGAGCGCTCAGACCAAAGTAGTGTCTAAGAGTGCTGCTGAGATTTTAGCAGCCTGGGTCAGGACTTGGGCTTATTCCCTGGCCCTCCTTAGTTTGCTAACACATACACAGTCTTGTCTCCACAGAGACCTAGCTGTTGAGTTAATGGTTTCTTGAGCGTGTACTCCGGAGGGCTACAGTGTAAGTGCTGGGTGAATCTAGTCTTCAGAAATGCCCAGATGTTTGCTTAAGTCTTCTCTCTTCCTCCACCTCAGCCTGAACTCCTTATTAAATATTAAGCCTGATTCTCTGTAAGTTAAAATCTCTGTCCATATGTGGTTTTATGCTATACTTTCTGCTAACTTTTGAATCTGCTGGTTAATTCAGGTGAATTTGGCAAGAGTTAATGGTTTAGAGGTCTTAAATTGCTGAATGTATGGTGAAAAACAGT